ATAATTACTATCATCCATTTGTTTTTTAAATGCCGCTGCAAAATTCATTGTGAAAATAGGTAATTGGGCAGCGAATCCTGAGGGTGGAATATTTCGACCAATTTTATTATTTCCTGACCCTGGTCCTTGTAATGGTGAAAATGTAGATACTCTTGGATCAGGAAATGTTGACGCACTATTGTTTAGGCTTGCCATCATTGTTGGTGGTGTGTCATACATTTGTTTATGGCCATCCATTGGCATTGTGAATCCAGACGCAAATGCCTGAAATTGTTTGTTCCTGGTGGTCTTGTGGTCACTTGGGAACCATGTGTATGCACTAGGGATAGAACTGGACCGCTAAAATCATTTGTCGATATTCCCGTCGTATTTTCTTGGACGGGTATCAATTCGGTTGTAGATAACGCAATTGTACTTTCCCCTGTCGAAGGGGGTGGTTGTTCTCCATTGTTATTTGATGGGTTAACCATCTTCCTAGTGTATTTCCTTTTTGGTATTGGTTCGTTAGTTTTGGCTAATTCTCAACTCCTAATATCATACAACAATGTCAAACAAATAGATTGAAACGAAAGAAACTACAACACAAAACAAAATCGGTGACACAATTTAGAAACTGGTCCCACTGGGCGTGCCAATTATTTATCGTGAAATTTGGTAAACAACCGCTAGTCTTCCAAAACAAAGATAACTTTCGGTTACTCACTAGATCGACTAGATTGATCCTAGGACATGTGTCTAACTCTGGTTTTCTAAAGTTTTTGGATATTTGCTCTTTGTCAAAAATGATTATAACGAAGGTAAAGGAAAGACGGAGGCTTAAAAGTAGAGATAAGAAATCTTTAAGATAAAAAACTGGAATGTAAATGAATTCAACTTAAACTTAAATGAAACATAAAAGACTTGATTCAAAAATAAATGACTTTGAATGAAAATCCTGGTATTTTATACGTACATTCGCAATAACTCTTTTCTCTTAACACTTGGTACTTCGAGTTTATTTGAGTGATTTGTACAAAAGTGAACACATTAAATCCTAACACAGAGGTTCTAATTTATACTAATTCAATCATAACGGTCTTTCTCTACAAGAGTGCCATGTTCGATATTTGGATGTCCTTCGAACCTCCAGGCTTCCACGCGTCCTTTCAGATAAGATCAAACCATTTGAATTTAAATTATTCCTTAATTCGAAGCGACAAAACCAGCAACGTGACTTTGTCGAAATATTCAAATTTGAATCTTCAAATGTCTTAAATCTCATGTATTTCGTAACATAAGACTTTCACCATTATTTAACAATATTTAACTATCAATTAGCCTGTCAATCGAACACTTCATAAAATATTCTCAGATTTCTTTTAGAACAAACTTTCCTTGGACATTCCTCACTCCTTCCTTCATATTTCAAATAGTCGAAATTTTCATCTAACAGTATCAAATATCTTTTATGTTATTTTACATTAATAAATTAGTTGAACCGTTAATTTTATCAAACACTTCAATTAGCTTATCAACTATCAATCTCAATCATCAACTATAAACTATTAGTCATCAATCATCAATCATAAATTATAAATTATCAATTACTTATCAATTCACCGTTATTTTTATCAAAGAAACACTTAGGCTTACCCATTCACCTAAAAGAAAAGAAATCTAATTCCCAAATGACAAAATATGATTGATTAACTATACAAACATTATCATATGTGGCCGAGAAAAAGGAAGAATAAGTGAGAAATTCTGTCCATGTATCAAATTGAGAATGAATCCAAATAATACTATAAGCAGCAAGTGCTGCAGCTACTATTCCTTTCCACTAACTAATTATTGGAGAATGCTTTCTACCTGACATCATTATCCTCAAATCATGAGTGACCAAGCGTGCACCATATCAACGGTCGATATGCAAACTTTCTTATACTCTTTTTAGCCAAATACATTTTAGAATTTTTATGTCTTAGTAAAAGTAATTGATTGACCGATAAGCTAATTTATCATTTGTGACTGATAATTGATTATGATAATTTATAATTTATAATTGATAGATATAGTTGTTAATATTTAATAAAATTAGTAATTCAATTAGTTAATAAATTAAAATAATATAAAAATTATTTAATATATAATTATTTTATTTTAAGTTAAAATATATTATTATAAAAGATATTAGTGAGTTTTAATTAAAATAATTAGGTAAAAGTGAAAATAAATTATAAATTAATGAATTTCTTCTATAAGCTAGTAAAATAGTATTTGGACAATAATTTATAAATTAATAAAATAAACTATAAATTTATGATAAAAAACTGTTATCGATTTTTTTTTTTTTTAATTGTCATATTAATTTATAAATTATAAATTATAAATTCTAAACTTAAAAAATGCCTTATCAAACAAATCTTTGTTAAAATTTATTTTAATTTATAAGTATTCACGTCAATAATATTTAAAATACATTTATCATTAAAAAATATTTATTTGTTATTTATACTTTAGTTGTGTTAAATTTTTCGGAATATATATATATATATATATATATATATATATATATATATATATATATATATATATATATATATATATATATATATATATATATATATATATATATATATATATATATATATATATATATATATATATATATATATATATATATATATATATATATATATATATATATATATATATATATATATATATATATATATATATATATATATATATATATATATATATATATAATTTAAATGTAATAAATTAAATAATAGTTCTATTTTGATACGATTTAATCGTGTCGGATATATTAAATGTTAGTTGATTCAATGCATGATATCGGATTTAATAAAGATAATTATGATTTTTTTTCCACAATTGTGATTGGAAGAGGGATAGAACCACAACACCGAATTAGACAATTTAATAAATCGAATACTAGTGATAAAACTAAAAAAATCATGAGAAATAGTTTATAATATTTTTAATTATAATTTAAACGTGTTAAATTTTAAATCACATGCAAGTATTTTTAACATGTGTGTCTATAATCTACATGTCACTAAAATGAAACTAGAATTTAATATAATTTTAGAATTTTGATCGGACTTAATTCAATATTATAAAATCAGATTTTTAAATGTAGATTGCATTCACTTTTAAATATTTTATCAGAATTAAAATCTCGATAATAAATTATGCATAAATAAATTATAGATTGAAATGATAAGAAATCTCTTCTAACTTTATCAAAAATAAATTAAATTTGAATTAAATCTTAGACATCCATTAAATTAAATTAAAAACTCATATTAAATCCCACAGCGTTTTCCCATGCTAAATAGCCAACTTGTTAAACTTTATACTATTAAAATAAAAATAAAACATAGATATTGTGAGTTAGTGACATAACAGAACACATATAAATACTGTCCAAGTGTGTGCACAGGTCTCCTCAAGCCTAAGTACAAATCCTGTTTCTTAAAAAAACCAGAAAAGAAGAAGATTAAAAACATGGTTGAACAAGAAATAAGCAGAAAAGGTCCATGGACAGAACAAGAGGATTACAAACTAGCCTATTTTGTTGGGTTATTTGGTGATCGTAGATGGGATTTTATAGCAAAGGTTTCAGGTTTGGAAGGTGGCGGGAGAGAGTAATAGATAGGTATGCTTAAAAGGGCATGCTGAAATTATAAAAGAAACATTAATTCCTTTAACCAGGTTTTTCTTGTTTCTCACACTGTATTGTAGGTTTGAGTAGATCAGGTAAAAGTTGCAGGTTACGTTGGGTTAACTATCTTCACCCTGATCTCAAACGTGGCAAGATGACCCCTCTTGAAGAATCTCTTGTTATGGACCTTCACTCTAAATGGGGAAATAGGTTTGACAATCACCTCTTCTTCCTCCATAAGAGCCGGTTTCATTTTTAAGTTATGTTTTAGACCGCTTCTAGAGAGCCGGTTTGATTTATGAAGTCAAATTTTATTTCTAAACTTACAGCAGTTAGAGTAAAAATATGTTCGTCTCAAGATCTCAGGTTCTATAGTAGTTATTGTAGTAGATGATATTCGTCTGCTGCAGAAATTAATTTTTATATCTAATATATATAGTTGTTTTTTTTAAATATTTTCTTTGGTTATTCAAGTTTAATTTACAAAGCTATGTGTTACGATATGAATCACAGATGGTCTAGAATTGCTAGAAAACTACCGGGAAGAACAGATAATGAGATTAAGAATTATTGGAGGACACACATGAGGAAAAAGAGAGCACAAGAGAAAAAACATGCAGCAACAACAACAACACCTTCGATTTCATCACCTGATCAATCTTCTAGTTGTCAATCTTCACTGTTTTCAAACAACAATCATGCTGTGGATTCACGCGCTTCAAACAAAGAGACCGGAGAAGAAGAGAATTACCAAGTTGAAGAAATTGAACAGAGTTACTCAATGGATGATATATGGAGAGATATTGCTATGTCTGAAGAAGATGACATAAACATTCTTCAACAACCTGTTTATGATGGAACTTGTGATGAGAATTGCAATAACTTTTGTTCTCCTGTAATGCCTTCTGCATTATCATCATCATGGGATTATTCTAATTTAGATCCTTTGTGGGTTATGGATGAAGATGAAAGCAAGATCTTGTTCCCTCCTATTGGTGATCAATGTTTCTCCTTTTATGATCAACAAGGGAACACATTTCTAACTCGTTAATCAAGATTATTCATTTTTTCGATATCGTGTTCATATATGTGTCATTTGTCATAAGGTATAGTCTAATTAACATGTATAGTATAATGTTCCGTAAGTACATCTCAGATACAAAAAACTGCAGGATATTTGATATGCTATGCTGGGGCAAGAGTTCGATCCTGCAACATTCCACTTTGCTGCACGTAGAGTTTTGTCGATGGTCTCTTTGAAACCAAAAAATAAAAACTTGTACAGTATAGTATATTTCTTTTGGAAACGGATTTGACCATGTGATCTAAATCAACAGCGGAAATCAACTGATTTTGTTATTATGCAATTTGAGTCGTCTGATCTCAAATTAACGGTCAAGATTGTAAATTGCAACATAGAATCCAGATCCATATCTTTGAAAGGCTTAAGCATGGTTGTGCATGATGTGACATAGCTGTAATCAATATCAAGATTGTTATCTATAAGATCAAGATATCAATGTTTGTGCTTTTACTTTCAAGAAATGTTATCTGAATGTAAAATATCAAGCACTTGTTGGATTTTTGTTTCAATCTGATTTGGATACCTATCATTATAGCACTTAGTTTCATTATTTATTAGCAGCCACTAACTAATGCGTGAGCAATCTATGTATAAAACTTGTCAATTAGAATAGAATAAGATGCATAACATATAGGTCAAGCTTAAAGAAATTGATCATCCATCACACGTGTTGAGAGCTAGTGGAAAAAGACTAAGTTCCATAATAATTTAAAAAACCATAGATTTGATTTCAAAATCTAGATATAATTTAATAGCTATCAATTGGATTTTGGAAAAGTTGAGTTGATTCATCTACAAAATCAGTTTGCAAACACATTTTCAAACACATTATCTGTCAACAAAAAAGTGATTATGTTACTCAAATAAATTATACTCCAAACATGTCTTAAAAGGGTTTGATTAATAAAAATGTTTATTACTATATGCCATGCCAGAGCCTTCTCCTGCAAAGACAAAAATGAGCATTGAAATGAATTCAGCTAATGCAGCTTTGAGTGCATCAGCTTTGCCAAATTCAGAAGGACTTCCAATTGCAATTCTTGAAATTGGCATAGTGGATTTTTTTTTAAGCTTAGAATATAAGTTAATAATAGTAATATTAATATCTTGCACTTTAAGCTTTGTTAATTAATACTTGGGTTTGTTAAAATGGTGTTATATATAGTAACATGAGTGAGACCATGGTGCAGCATTTTAAGTGTGTAGCATTGTGAAGAAATAAGTCACGAGGAGAAATGGAAGAAAAGTGATTTTGAAAAATAAGTGTGTTGGGAGCCTCCTGTTTTAATGTGGTGTGACACGTGTACGGTTGATGTGATGTTTTGGGGCTGGATCACCGACTGATGAGCAAGTTTTGAGTGTGGGACCTTTGTTTAGTTTTAGGAACAAACCGACTTTGAGATTGTTTATACGGTGGTGATGTGGACTTCATATTAACCAACAATATTGGTTTTAATTTTATTTTTAATTTCTTTATTTTAAATTATTTATTAAATTAGTATATCTATTTTAAAGTTAAACCGTTTCAATTTTTATATTATATTTTTTCAATATTTCAGACAGGTCATCAAAATAGTGAAGATATTGAGTCACTGATTTATTGGTTGAGCTATTGAGTTATTAGTCGAATCGTATGATTAAATCGGATAATTCAATTGAATAAATTGATCTCTATAATGGTTAGAATAATAATGCAAGTGTGAGTAAGTGGGAAAATAGTTCTATATTAGATAGGAATGTGGAGACTTGAACATATATAAATGGGAGAACCCACTCATCTATCACCTTAAGATTTTAGATGGATAAGTGGTGTGTCTCTCACAATGGTGCATAATCTCAACTTTGTATCAATGCTCCTAGTAACTCTCCCTAACAACTTGGTATCCAGAGCTTCTGATTATTGTGTTATTGATGGAGTTTCAAGAATTTCACGTCAGAGATCGTGTTTGTAGGACAATTGAATCAATTGTTGCGAAGATGGATAGTGATAAGGGCAATGTGAATTCTCTTTCAATGATTGACAATAAAAATTGGATCTGATAGAAAAAATAGATGCAATCCTTGTTTGGCTCCCATGAAACTCCTAGAAGTGGTTACCGAAGACGTTCTTGCGTTGGTTGTAAATGCAACCGATGAACAGAAAAAAAAAAACCACAACAAAGTCAAGAAGAAAAATTACAAGGCTACTTATTGCGTTCAGACGGCAGTCGATGTTGCTAATTTTGACAGAATCTCTCATGCTGAAACAGCGAAGGAGACATGGGATATTCTGGTGAAGTATTACGAAGGAGATGAGAAAGTCAAGATTGTCAAGTTACAAACCTTGCATCGATAATATGATTTATTGTCAATGGGAGAAGATGAAAAAGTTACAGAATATGTGTCGAAGGTTCAGAAACTCGTCCATCTCATGAAGGATTGTGGTGAAACTATAACTGATAAGATGATAGTTGAGAAGGTAATGAGAATGTTGACCTCTCATTTTGATCACATTATCGTAGCTATTCAAGAATCCAACAATCTTGAAACCACAAAAGTGGAAGATTTGGTTGTCGAAAGGAAAAGAGTTCAGGACTCGATACAGACACTGCAAGCTCAGTCATGGAAAAAGAATGGTGATTTCAACAAATTCAAAGGCAAAGTCGACAAGACTAATGGAAATAAGTCTTGGTCGAATCCTCACAAGTATCATGTTGAAGATAGGGCTTCTGAATCCTCGAAAAGAAGAGGAGGAAACTATCGAAAGGACAAAGAAGATAAAAAAGGTGTGCAGTGTTATAACTGTGAAAAGTGGGGTTACGTAGCCAAGAATTGTTGGTACATAAAAGACAAAGGATCGACAGGCAAGGACGAAGGAGTGAACCTTGCACGCCAAGATTCAGATAATTCTGAAGGTGGTATGGTGGTTATGGTTGTAGTTGTAGATAACCATGTTGAATCCAAGATCTAGTTCCTCGACTCAGGCTGCTCGAATCACGTGACGGGTCTAAAAGAGTGGTTGACATATTTCGATGAGTCGAAGAAGAGCAAGATAAAACTTGTTGATAATAGTTCGTTGTAAGCAGAAGGTACGGGCAACATAGTCTTTCAAATGAGGAATAGAGGGAAAGCTATGATTAAAGATGTGCTTTATGCACCTGGAATGAAGTGCAACATGTTAAGTGTTGGATAACTGGTCGAAAAAGGTTTCTCAGTTGTTATGAAAGATGGAGATTTGAAATTGTTCGACACCAAGAACAATTTGGTCTTATAATCTCTGTTGTCGAATAACAATACATTTAAAACTATGATCAGTTCGATAGAAGTTCAATGCTTGAAAATTGTTGTTGAACACAAGGATAGTTGGTTGTGACATTTGAGGTTTGTACATTTGAATTTTCGATCACTTAATCAACTGATTATTCAAGATATGGTTATTGGTATTCCAAGTCTTGAGATTCCTGACATACTTTGTGAAGGTTGTTTAGTAGGAAAGTAATCCATAAATTCTTTTGTTTTGACTATGCCAATGAGATCATCCCGTATTCTCGAAGTGGTACATTCAGATGTATGTGGTCCATTCTAAGAACATATAATTAGGGGAAACATATATTTTTTTTATTTTTTTTTTGTTGATGAGTTCAGTTGAAAGTTGTGGATCTATGTGATCCAGAGAAAGGATGAAGTATTCGAAATCTTTAAGAGATTCAAGATACTTGTCGAAAACTAGAGTGAGAAGAGGATCAAATTTCTACGAACAGATGGACATGGCGAATACACTTTGAAGATGTTTGAAATTTTTTGTGAAGAACATGGTGTTGACCATGAGGTAACTGCTTCTTATACTCCTCAACATAATGGAATTGATGAAAGAAGAAACATAACCATATTAGATATGGCGAGATGCATACTGAAGCAAAAGAATTTATCAAAGTCTTTATGGGGAGAAGTTGTTTCGACTACATTTTATATCCTGAACAGGTGCCCTACCAAGATATTTAGGAAAATGGTTCCTGAAGAAGTATGAAGTGGCAAACGACCATCAGTGAGTCATTTAAAGTTGTTTAGCTCTATGTGTTACAAGCATATTTCTGATGCAAGAAGAAGGAAGCTTGATGACAAGGGTGAACCTGTGATTCTGGTAGGATATCATAAGATTGATGCATACAGGCTATGTTGTGTTGATTCGAGATGTTGTGATTGATGAAAATTCTGCCTGGGATTAATAAAGTCAAAGTCAAAGTAGAAGCAGTAGATGACATTCCTGACACAGTCGAAGTCGAAGAGGATATGGCTAGCACAAGTCATAGACCTCAATAAAATAAAGTTCCTCCAACTAGAATTCATGATTATGAAGTGGTAGGTGATGATGAAGTCACAACATATAGAGAATTAGTTCATTTTGCTTTACTTGCAGATGTTGCACCGATTAACTATAACGAAGCTTTGAAGACTAAATAGTAGAAGTTAGCTATGTTCGAAGATTTACAGGCAATCAAAAGAAACAACACAAGGGAGTTATTCGAATTTTCAGCATAGACAAAAGCTATCAAAGTAAAGTGGGTGTTCAAGTTGAAACACAATGTTGATGGGTCGATAGAAAGACATAAAGCAAGATTAGTAGCTTGAGGTTTTCTTCAAAGAGCATGACTCGACTACTCTAAAGTATTTTCTTCAGTAGCAAGATTAGAGACTGTTCGACTAGTGGTAGCATTGGCATGCAATCAAGGTTGGTCGATATTTCATTTAGATGTGAAATCAACATTTCTAAATGGTCCTTTAGACGAAGAGGTCTGTGTCACACAACCTCCAGGGTGTGTGATTTAGAAGGAAGCGAGTAAAGTATATAAGTTCCACAAAGTGCTCTATGGTCTAAAGCAGGCACCTAGGGCATGTAATAAGAAGATCGACTCATACTTAGTCGAACTAGGATTTGTCAAATTCAAGTCAGAGTATGGTGTCTATGTTCAGGTTGTAGCACAAAATATAACAATCATCTATTTGTATGTCGATGACTTGATGGCAACTAGAAATAGCTTGGAGAACTTGTCGAAATTCAAAGAGTTGGTGATGAAGGAATTTGAAATGTCGGATCTAGGAAAAATTTCTTATTTCCTAGGCGTGGAATTTCAAATGTTGAAGCAAGGTATGGTGTTACATCAAAGGAAGTGTGTCAAAGAAATACTTAAGAGATTCATAATGGATGATTCGAATCTTGCATCCTCACTTGTCGAACCAAATGTGAAGTTGGAGAAGAATGGAGAGGAAGACAAAGTCGATGTAACTTTGTTCAAGCAAATTGTGGGATCTATTAGGCATGTGTGCAATAGTCGACCTCATATAGGTTTCGCAGTCGGATTAGTGAGCAGATACATGAGTGAACCAAGGGTATCACACATGAAGGTTGCAAGAAGAATCCTAAGATACTTAAAAAGATCAATAAACTATGGAATACTATTTCGACGAGATTCTGAAGGCAAAGAAGAAATAGTTAATTGTTTTCAGATGCTGGTTGGTGTGGAGATAAGGAAGATCGAAGAAGCACAACTGGATATTTCTTTCAAGTATTTGGTACCCCAATCTCATGGTGTTCGAAGAAGCAACTTGTGGTGGCATTGTCATCGTGTGAAGATGAATATATAACAGGATCATATGCTTCATGCAAAGCAATTTGGATTAGATTTGTACTTGAAGAAATGAAGGTCGAAGTGAAGAAACCTCTTGTGTTACAAATCGACAATAAGTCAGCTATAAATTTGGCGAAGAATCGAGTTTTGTATGGAAGAAGTAAACATATCGAAGCAAGGTTTCACTTCTTGATGGAAAAGGTAAATCAGGTGAACTTGAAGTAAGACATGGCTCGATTGAAGCACAATCGACCGACATTTTTACCAAAGGATTGAAGATCGACAGATTCCTGAATTTGAGAAAGAAATTATGAATAGTTCAGATTAACTATTTTTAGAGTATGTTCGACAACTTGGATTATGGGGTGTGTTGAAATATTAAATTAGATTTGTTAAAATATTAGATTAGATTTGATTAGATTTAATATTTAAATATAATTCAAGTTG